TTTTTCAATGGCTGGTGCATTTATTTATAGCAGTCACACACAGAATCCTTGCTGTGTAAGTAAAAAAAAGACAGCCCATTGCTCCTTTCATACTTCTTCATAACTTGAAGAATTGTTGCACAAAGAGAGGCTTTAAATTTCAGTTATTATTATACCAAAGTTGCAGTATTTTTTCTTATGAAAATAATAAAACAAAGAATAGAAATTTCATTTCTATCACTAGTAAATTAATTTTAAAGTCTCTTATTTTTCATATTAATGCTAACCATATGATTATTGTTATGATTTTTAACTAAGTAATAAAAAAGTACCCATTTTATTGTTGCTTTGTGAAATATTTATAATATCCTTTTGTTACTGTAATTCTTGTGAGTCTCTTCTCCTGCTCCAGAACACTGAAAATGCTTGTATTTGTACCTCAGGAACATCAAAATGTTCTATGCAATACAGCTATGTAAAACAAGCATAATTATAAGCATCGTCACATAACATTTCTATTACTGGTTTTGCGCAGTAAAAAAGTATTCTTCATATCGCACAAGTAGTTAAGTTTGAGTTAAAATGTCTTAAGTGAAAGTGACATCTCACGCAAAAATATATTTTTTTCTCCGTTGCTGAAATAAAAACTATACAAATACAAAATAAGACTTTTTTAACAAGCCAAAGATTAACTGAAAGTAAAAGGTGTAGGACATTCAAAATCCTTTTTTCAAATGACCATACACTATGTGGTGGGTAAGTTAGTGGAAGCTGACTGTCATTAATCCTCAATGACATGGTGGGCGAAAGAGTTTAAATTCGGCAGAAAAAAACACCCTTGAAATGATCAACCCAGACATAGCCGTTAGTAGCCATAATTGATTTGAGAAAGCATCTGACATGGTACCCATTTTCATAACACTTATTCCTTGCAGTAAACCTTTAACAATTGTTAAAGGAACTGTCAAAAGAGTTTCTCTATAAGGCAACTTCAGTTTTTCAGAACAATCAGACAACATACATTGGTATGAGTACACCAAAAAATAAATGATCTTGCTTCTACATACTACTTATGAAATACAACACTTTTTGAATGACCCTTTTTTTGCACACTGAGTATGAAAATATATAGCTTTTTACGCATGATATTTTTAGAAAAATGGAAGTATACAAAATTAAAATATTGAATACTGAATTGGAAATTTGTATTGTCGTGTAGATTAATTGATCATTTTTGACTGAACATGATACAGTCAAGTGAAAGACTAAATGGCAACAACATTCATTAATCGGGATGTTTACTGGGCACTGGAGATAAGATGATGAGCCTATTAAAAGTGTAAATTAGTAAAAACCTAGATAGAAAAAAAACAGATAGACACAAATATGACCAAAAATGAACAATGAAGCCTTCATGCTTTAAGAATGTTGTAGGAATCCCTCAAGAAGGCTTGCTTGCAGAGGAGCCAAGTCTTCTGGGATGGATATGTCAGCAGAATGGTACACTAAATCCAGTGGAAAATGGAGGCCCAAGTGTGATGATTCTGGCAGAAGTGTCAAGTTTCTGAATAGATTCATTAGTAGTGATCGATGGCAACCTGACGGGCCAATGCTACACTGATTACGGTGTGAGTCTTCACTTTCTGCCCCTACTGCAAGCTCATTCTGACAGGACCATTCTCCAGCAGCATTCATGCACATGCTCATGCTGCTTGTGTAACAACGGAAAGACAAGCCTGCGACAGTTATGCCTTGGGTACCCGCCTGCCAGAGAAGAGTCCCATTGAGGTGGGATGATGTTTGGCACTTAGTGCTGACAGACCAGTAAACAAGCCAATCCTAGCTCTAGGAGAGAGATGAGCCAGAATCCCACCAGACAGCACCAGCAAACTGCAATGTGTTGCAAACGTAAAGCTTGCATGGTTTTTCCAGTGATGGCCACACACACTGCTAGCCTGTGAATTTAACAACTGACACCCTGTTGATGACAACAGGCCATCCAGAAAAAGCAGCATAGTCTAGTTACCCATGTCATTTCTGTTCAATTCGGCACACAAGCTACAAAAAATATATTTGTGAATACGCTGCACCTGTAAGTGACAAATTTCATTGTCTGCACAGTATGCAGTTTCACTTATGTTCACTAGTTTCCATAAATAATAGTAATGCCAGCTCATATTGTTTACCAATATAACTGATAAAGCACAAATGAGTGTGTTTAAGTGAATGGTTATTCCAACATTTTGAACATGCATCTTCTGTCAAGGGTTACTTACAGTATAATGCTTTCGCTATGCAGTTTCTTCATTAGCAATGTTTGTTATGTACTCACAGGATCCATGCAAATAAATATATACAAAATATATTTTTGGTCTGCTAATGCTTAAGATGTTCCATATGAAGATATTTGAGATGGATGTTGCTCATAGAAAATAATTTAAAGTAATGGACATTTTACATCAAAAGAATAAACAAGCCTTCTTAGCCTATATGATCTAAAGCCCACGTTTATTTCTCCAGTTGTGTTTTTCATTTCTGTGAAACAGTGTGTTTGAGAATGAAATCCTGCATGCATTATTAATTTCAAGAGTTTCAAGAAATGTAAAAAAACTTGACAACAATGACAGAAAAATAAATAACACAGGCCTTATTGAAAGCATTCCCATCTAAGTTTCCTATTATGTAACTTGTGTAATTTACCCCTTACCAAGCTGGAAAAAGAGACTTACTTAATCACAGTATAAACTGCTTTAAGAGCATGAGATAAGACAATGCTAATTATTCTACCGTTTTGTGTGAGTTTAGTAGAGCAGAGGAATGATGTGATCCAGAAGGACTCCTTAGTGGTTTTCACAGCTTGATTGTTTCCTGGGAGATTTCCTTTTAAAAAAGGCAGCTTGAGGTAGCGAGCAGAGTCTTGGAGGTTTGCATTTTCCTCACACTGTTAAAAAAAACAAGAAAACATCTACTAAGGGGCAAAAGCAAAGACACTCTAATAAAAAGAGCACCCATTAAATACAATGTACGAGTTTGTGGGGAGAAACAACAAATACCCATATATTCTGTGCACACTTGGAGTGTAACAATACTAACTTTCATCTCAGAAGGTTGCATTTTTCGATACTGTTTTTTAAGACTTCTTTAATGCTTTGACTTTCCCAGTACATGTAAGCATGTCTGATGAGAAAAAATTTAAATCGTATGTCATTGGAGTATATGTCTGGAGTACAAACAAGGTATCCTTACATGACCAAATAATATAGAGAATGGGACGTGAACATACTGTAACAATGTCTAAAACATAATATTCTAATCCAGCATACTGTAATATTGTAGGACATAATCTCTGGTTGCCTTAGCTTGTTTTCAGGCTTTTACATTTG